GCCGCGATCGATCTTCTGGGGTTCGATGTAGCAGGTCTACTGAAGACCCGCTACATCGAACTCAGAGGGTGCCCCTGTTGGTGCCGGGACTCCTGCTCCTCATGAGGAGCAAAGGGAAGCCGACGGGAGCGTTTGCTTCTCCCGCTGCCCCCGTCCTAGCATAATCTTGCAGCTCTCATTGATTAGGCTTGCAGCAGTTCACAGACCCACATGGCCCCGCAGCGGATGCAGGGGCATGGAAGGCAGGGAGCCTGCCTGAGAAACCTGCTGGGCCGCTGGGTGGGAGTCACCCAGGTAGGTCTCTTGACCAGTGCCTGGCTCTGTTCCCCTAGTCCCTTCCTTCCCCACAACCCTCTGCCCCCCCACTCCTGGCCCTCTACCCCTCATAAACCAAACCCTGTTCCCCTTCCTGCACCCAGGCCCCCTCCAGATTTTGCACCACAATCCCCTACCTCAGGCCACAACCCCTTCCTGCCATAGGACAGAACCCAAACCTCTGCACCTCTTCATCCCCCGAAATCACCTGTCCCAGGTCACCAGGGCTCGCTGAACTGCAGCGCGCCCTGCTCACCAGCTGCACTGTCCGGCGATCTGCGCATGCACAGATCGTTCTGCGCATGCACAGATTGCCCGAACCCGGCTCTTCCGGGTTACAATCTACTTGCCACGGGCCCTGCAGGTCACAACCCCCTCTGAAGCCCCCTCCCAGATCCCACACCCCCTCCTGCACCCCAATCTCCATCCCCACACTCTCTTCTCCACCCCACCTGTCTCCCAGGCCCGGCACCTCCCTTGTTAATATCGTGGAAGAAGGAGGCCCTTGACCACTTCCCAAATTCTTGGAGTGGCCCCCTACCAAAGATGATTGCCCACCCTGCTCTAAAGACACAGGGTATCCTACGTGAACCCGGAGGAACACGAGTAAAGGGAGGGAGGAAGTGAATGGGGCCAGCCCTCGCTACACCGCCCGAAAGCCTCGCCGATCACACCGCACCTACCAGGACAGCCTGTTCCAGCGCCACCGCCTCACACCAGTGAAACATTCCCGTGGCATCCAGCAAGCTACTGCTATGTTTTCTCATGGTTGCCGCACTCCTAAACAGACAGAGCAACGCATCAGCTGCAGCACAGCCCCATCGCAATGATCCTGTTGCCAAGATCCCCTCTTGGTCCGTCTGTCCCAGAGCGGCCGAGAAGATCACGTGTGTGACGCCTATAAGGGGCTTATTTCAAGGAACTCCGTTTGTATGGGTGTGCAGAGCCAGGCAAAGGCAGGAAAACCATATTCAGCAATGCACCGGGTGAACTCGTGGTCGCTTGTGCTCGCTCCCCCCCGACTGCTCTCACCGCCGCCCTCAGCAGCTAAGATGCTGGTGGAAAAAGTAGTTTAAATGCAGCCCTGGGCTGGCCCCCAATCTCTGGGACACTTGGCGTTGGCCACTGTGGGCAGACAGGACACTGGCCTGGATGGACCTTCGCTCTTATGGTCTTAAAAAGGATGGACAACGATTTGCTGCCTTCACAAAATAGGTTGATAGAAGGGCTAGAATCGGACGCCAGATTTCCTAACAATCGGTCTACTACAGCATCCACGAGTTGCAGGTCCAGAGGTGCTTTTGTAACCCACACACCAGCTGGGCACGGTGTGCTGTCCCTTGGGGTGACACTTGTACCACTTACAGAGACAGAGAATGAGTTTGCTCTACGGCAAGGGTGGGCAATAATTTTTGACTGGGGGCCACTTTAGAAATTTTTGAAGTGGCCCTGAGCCACCCCGGAAGGGGCGGGGCCAGGACACTTCCATCCTTCCCCTCCCACAGATCCTGGTTGGTCTGGGGAATAAACACTGGAATGAATTGCCTCGGGTGGTTGTGGAATCTCCATTTCTGGAGATATTTAAGAGTAGGTTAGATCAGCCATTCTAAAACTTTTTGGCTCCAGAGCCCTTTACATGCGTAAAAATGTATGCGGAGCCCCAGTGGTCCACTGATTGTACGTGTTGTACCTATCGATGTTTCTAGTTTGTCAACCTCGCGGAGCCCCTGGAGATGTCTCACGGAGCCCTGGGGCCCCACGGAGCACAGTTTGAGAAACACTGGGCTAGATAAATGCCTATCAGGAATGGTCTAGACAGTGCTGGGTCCTGCCGTGAGGGCAGGGGACTGGACTCGATGACCTCTCAAGGTCCCTTCCAGTTCTAGTGATCTAGGACTCTGATTATTTTGCAAGTGAGGGATGGTTGAAAATTGCAAACCACTCACTTATGTTTGCATCAGTGCTAGGTCTCTGGTAGCCCCTAACTATGGCAATTTGGGGGCACATCTCCACTGGAGCGTTATTTCACGTTACTTTGAAACAACAGAGTGCACATCTACACAGCAAGCCTGTTATTCTGAAATAATTTCGAAATAACGGGCTTCTTATTCCAGTTCTGTAACCCTCATTTCACGAGGAGTAAGGGAAGTTGAAGGAAGAGTGTTCTTCCTTTGACTTCCTGCTATGTAGACAGCGCCTAAAGCCGAGTTAAGCTACTTCGACTTCAGCTGTACAATTAACTCGACTTTAGCCCGCAGTGTAGACATATCCTAGGAGACCTACCCCACCCTCGATTCACCAGCTGTGACATCACCAGGACATCATGATAAATTGTGTCAAAACTAGTTACCTCTCGTGGTCCTGCTCGTGTTTCTACATATTTCACGTCACTTCACTACTGGAGAACAGTCACTGTTTTCACTGAGGCGTGGGAAAAAAACGCCTTTCGCTCACAGCACAAACTTCTGAAGGGGGGCACCGGGGAAGAAGGGATGAGGTTTGCCTCCTGGTGGAAATTGGTGCAAAGTCCACAAGTGGTGTGTTTTGCTTGAGTATGGATGACTGAATTTGGCCCCTTAATTATTTGATCAAAACCTCAGAGCACATGATGAGTGTGAAGGAACAATATTGAATTGGGCAAACAGGGGAAAACAAATCTGATCATAAAGATGAGTAATGGCCAATGACAACCATGCCATTTTCTGTGAGTTTTTCCACAGTGCCCTCTTCCTCCCCCCCCTTTTGGTTGCTGCTTATCAGAATTTGCATGGCTAGTTAGCAGGTTAATTTAATTATCAGCAGTGCTTCTCAACCGCCTGATTGGACAAATGGATGGCAATAGAATCTGTTCTTAAATGATGAAACTGCACAGTCTCACACATCTGGGGGCCATCGTGGGACACGTCGCTGTCTTGCAAACAGGCCTCTAATCTTACAATATTGTGCGAGACGCTTCCAATCAGTCCATGCTTGCAGGAGGATGGTGACGGGGAAGGGTTGGGATAATTCATGACTCAGTGCCACCAGCCACTTCCCCCCACTCCTCGTGACACCATTGCAAACTCATCTAAAGAACAGAACTTGGGTTAGTCAAAACCTTCATAGGGGGGTGTGAATTTTCACTAAGGCTGGTAGCCAGCGAAAGCTGGGACCCAGCTATGCAGCAGCTCAGGCCTGCCAACAGACGTGGCAAATAAGGCAATTTCCCCAGGTCCTGGTGCTTCAAAGGGGTCTGGAGCAATGTGGCCAGAGCCCCGGCCCTTTTATATCCCTGCTGGAGTGCCACGTGGTATGGTCTGGACAGCACCAACGGTTGGGAAGGGGGGCACGACACTCTTCCACTGCCACTAAGGGCTGCCGAGCCTTAGCTCCGCCTCTTCCGCCGGAGGTCCCGCCCCTTCCGAGAGTATGGAGTAGGGCCCACCCTGCCTTGCCCTGGTTGCCGGCCCTGCCGCAGCCGGATACCACGTTGAACTAATACTCTAGCAAAAAAGGACGACTCCAAGTCCTCCTTCCTTAAAGCGAGACTCCCCCGGGAGCGTCAGTGCTGTGTGAGGTGAGGGTGGAAATTCACTACTCCAGGAGCTGCCCAGGGAGGAAATCCAGGAATGTAAAGTTTTTCTTTAATTAAAGATGATGTGATTCAGTCTCCAGGAAGACATCCAACCGTAACAGGCGACCCCTGTCCCACTCACCTAGGTGGAGGTGCAGGGAAACCCTGCAGGGCAGCAAGGTAGCTTGTGGGGGGAGAACTAATTTCCCTCAGTCACAGGTTGAGCTATTGTCGGGCCTTTACCATGTCCTCAGTCCGTACACACAGGTAGCTCCCACTAACGGCACAGTCCTTACACCCCGGTGGAGAGGCTCCGCATGGGCACCATGCACCTCGTAAGCCTTCAAATTCAGAGTAAAGTCGGTTATTATTGCTGGTGGGCCTAGAGGCACTCAATCAACAGGAGGGCCCTAATGCCCTAGGCAGTGGTCTCCAACCTTTTTACACCCAAGATCACTTTTTAAATGACAGACCAAGCCAAGCTCTACCGCTCTGCCCCTTCCTTGAAGCCCCGCCCTCTCTATTCTCCTCTCCATCACTTGCTATCCCCAATCCTTATACTGCTACTTTTAAAAAAAATTCCCACCATTTCTCGCAGCTACTCACCTGTGCTGTTGCTCGGTGAGTAGCTGCTCCTCAAATGAGGAAATCTAATGTAAATGTACTGCACAGGCACGCAGTTCAGAGAGGGCTCAAGAGCTACTCTTAGAGCCTCCGAGATCTACCAGTAGATCACGATCTACTGGTTGGTGACCATGGCCCTAGGGGCTGTACACAGGCCTACCAAGAGAGAGCTTCTGCCACAAACAATTCACAATTTGATACACAGAGGAGCCTGGTGCACAGTAGAAAATTAGCTTCAGGGGGTAGCTGAGTTGGTCTATTATAGAAAAAAACAACCAATGGTCTGGTAGCATTTTATGGACTAACAAAACATGCAGATGGTATCATGAGCTTTCGTGGGTACAGCCCACTTCGTCAGATGACCAGAGTTATCAGCAGGGGATATGAAAACTGGAAATAAATAGGAGGGGGAAGAGAAAGTAAAAAGGAAGGGGGGTAGAGGGGGGACAAGGCATCATTAAGTATCTGGAGAATGGGTACTTAAACCTAAGCAGATAAAGATCAAAGTCAATAGATTGCTGAGACAGGCTAGAGCCCCCCCCAGCCTATATCTTGATTGAGTCCATTAGCATGTGGAAAATTAGGTCAATTTAAATTAGGTGTAGGGATTGAAGAATCCATCTTCCCAAGTGGCTTAGCACTGCTAACTTCGGTCTCCACAGAGCCTATGTCTACACTGCGGGTGTTTTCCAGGATACCAGAGGTGTACTCCGCCCTGTCCAAGAAATGCGTTTGCTCTTCCATTTTTTTTTTTTTTGCTCTTTCAGGGAGCCCTGTTTGCCTTGTGCTATGAGGGATAAGGGTTCCACCGAAAGAAAAAGCTTTTCCACCATTTGGTCCTATCTAGACTGGGCCAAATGGCGGAAAAGCCTCTTCTGGAACAGCGATTGGAAAAAGGAACGCAAATGGCAGAGTGCAATTTGCGTAGCTTTTTCCGACAAAGAACTGTAGTGTGGACCTAGCCAGAGATAGTATTAGGTCAATGGAAGAATTCTTCCACTGACCCAGCTACTGTTTTGAGAGGAGGGGGGCTACCTCCACTCAGAACGTAACGTAAGTGTGGGTCGGTAGCTGTGCCGCTGTCACATTATTAAGTGCAGACACCCTGCCCAAAAATTATTATCCCCCTTTTACGGAAAAGGAGCACAGAGATCAAGTAACTAGCCAACAGTCATGGTTTGTGGCAGGCACTGCCTTACCCACAAGCCCATCTTTCCTTTAAACATGGCATATTGCTCTGGGGCTGGCTTCCTGCTAGAAAGCATGCTAGAGCACCAGCTTCACCAACAAAATATGGCTGGCTTGTATTCCAAGGAGCTCAGGATCTTTGCTAATCCACAGCATACCTGTTTAACTCAAATCCCCGAGCAGTAATTAAATAGTTTTTAATGGATCATTACAGTGTGATTTATGACTTTTGTGTAATTGTCAGAATTACTGTAGGTAATTAAAATACAAAGTGCACACTGCCAGAGACTTCAGTCACTCTGCACCTCATTAAAAATCAGGGGCTGACCAAACGAGAAATAAATTAGTTTGCACAAGTTCTCAGGGAAAGCTAATTATGAAACTTATCCTGCTGCATTCAGCATTCACAGTGTCA